AGAGTAATATCTATTGCTGAGAAGGTGCCAGTTGCTGATGAAAAATGTGTATATGATCCATCATTATGTAGGAGGAGCCCATGATTGTCTAGCAATGTTTCTATTAATCTACCCTTTGTGGAGATACTATCGGATCCCCACAAAATATTATGTGCATTAAAATCTCCACACAAAATATAAGGCGTGGGCAACTGCTTAATAATATTTTCTAAATCACGTAATACTAATTTGGTATTTGGAGGAATATATATATTGCATATTGTGAGCTTAAATTTTAGAGAAACTTGTATAGCAAGAGCCTGTAATTCGGTATTGAGGGGGATCAATTTATTTTGGCAACATTCTTTGACTAACCCATGTAGCAAAATTTGAAAGATGATTGCCAATATATTAATCATTTATTTCCAATTTTATTCCAATTTGATTTCCATCGATTGGTCATTGATTGGTCATTTATTGCCAATAATCGACCAATCCGGGAATCATCGGTCGACCAATTATCTGTCCATTTTATTGCCAATCGAATTGCAATGAAATTGGAATATTTTGGTGATAAAACAGCAATAAACCATCAACATCTCAACTTTTTTTTTTTTGACCTCAGGATCAGGTTGAAAACAATTTTTCCCTGAAAAACCTGCACAGAATACTGAGAATTGAGGTTTATTACTTAGAGTTGAAAAATGGAAGTAAAATAACTCTCTGAAAAGATAATGTCATGCAGTTACATAATAGCACAAATGTTTAAAATAATCGTTTTCCCTGATCCTTTCTACTCTCCCGTATGAAGTAGTATTTAAAGATTTTGATTAGCGTATTTTTATTTTGAAACATTTCATTTCAGTAGCTTATCTTGAGGTTATTTCTGCGCCCCATTAAGGTGAGAGGATACCTTCCGCACAGGAAATTTGACAGAGAAAACGCATTCTTTGTTCGCTGTTCAAAAATAGAAATGAAAATTTAAAATTGGATGCTGCTTGTCCTTTGTCAATGTAATGATGGACACTTCAGTTTTTACAGATAGAAATAGGTTATAGAAAAAATAATTAAAGGTGCCTTCATACACTTAGATGAATTTTTCAATGGTTCTCACAATTTTTAAAAATTCAATTTTGCCATTAGACAAGAGCTCCATTACAGCACTCCATTAAGATAGACATAAACCTGACAAATTTACACAAATAATTACAACAAAAATTCACATGGATCTTAAGTCTGAATGAGTTTGATTCAAACACTGCCAACATTAGGTAAAATAACATTTAAGATTTCACACCAATTTAAAATAATTCTAATTAGTGTTCAGTTGAAACTTGCTGGAAAAGATATGATAGTGGATATATACTCACTGCTAACTTCCAGTGTTTTCTTCATAATTTGGTGTACTGTTCAACTGCGAATAAAGATTAACAACATTTGATTGCTTGGCAATTTTATCATCAATCAAAAGTCGTTAAAATTCTTATACGAACAGCTGTCTGACCTGTAGAACTTTTGTATACTCACTTCCTGCATCCTCATAATATTTTCACGCGAAGTGGTGAATACGAAAGTGCTTACACATCTCATTTCAATGTGGTTGAGTTGTGTAGCTTTAGGATGGATTTTAACAGTGTGCAAAATGATAAGTTTCTGGAATCTCTGTGCTTTTCCCAATATACACTTACAGACACATTAGACTATTGCGTTATGACTCTTTTCATTTTGCTTTTTGTTAGCGGGTCAGTCAGCGGCAATGGATGTTTGATTAAGCTTGGTCTTATCAATTCGACAACCACACGAGCGGAGGCAACAAAGAAGGCTTTGTTGATCCTTCAACTCACAGTTTTTTTAGTTTACGCGGTGAATTCAACATGAATTGTGAACAATAAAAAACAATCAATCGCCAAGTTTTCATGCTGATTTCACAGTACGACAAAAATCACACGACTTTAAAACTACGGATTGGTTATTTTTTCTATTCATTATCAGTGAGTAAGAAGTTGATTGATAAGTTGGCCATTATGTGAACTTCAGTTTGTGAGCGCCGTCGAATAATTTACGCCTCTGCGCAAAGCGGTGTTCGCTACTATCCACCTTAAAAATATCAGGCTCATGATTGTATCGTAAAAAAACTACGTATCAGTTATGATCCGCAACATTTATGTGGTTGTGATTTATGTGCGGCTAAAAATTTAATTTTTACAAGGCTTGGAAGTATTAAAATACCTATCTAAACTTGCGTTTTGGCTTTTGCTAGATTCAAATGGTTTCATGTGGATACGCTTGCAAACCGAAAGAAAGTAAACAATGGCCAACTTATACGACTACACCTCTAAGTGGTTGACTGGTTGTCGGACCAAGAAAATAACCAGTGGAAGTTCTGTTACTTGTTTACAAGGAATGTTAAACAAAGTACCTCGTATAACGTGAACTGAAGTCCATAAAATTGATGGGTTGATTTTAAGTGGTCTTTCATCTGCTTATTTGAGACGAGATGCATATGAAGGCATTTCTAACCTCATTTGTGGCCTTGCAATATTCACAGGCGATTTTGGGAAAAGCATAAAGAAAGAGAAATGAGTTCATTCTAAGTAACTTACAGCTTACGGCTTAAAACAGACCGACAAATTTTTGTACAATTTGAAGAGGGTCGTCCGAAATTGCCTGACTCAATTCTTCTTCAACATGGAGAAGAAGAGGTGAGGATTTTTATTAATATTGATGATCCAAGACATCGATCTAATACCCTTCAACCCTCGAAAAAACCCCATTTTAATGAAACATCTAATCCTACTCTTGCCGATAGATTGGAATCAGCTCGTTCTTTGGCAAAAACACCCGAATTAATAGTTAAGGATGTCGAATCGGCATCTATGTCTCAAACGAGTGCTAAAAATGTTGAGGAGTCTTGTCAGTTTCAAGAAACGGATTTGATGGAAACTGAAATTTTAGTGCCCGATAGAAATGCCGATAATGACAAATTAGCACTTAAAAATGATCCGAAAATTGAATGTCCAACTCCCATAATCACCTCAAAGTCTGATGTGTCAATCTTAGAAAATAACCCCGAATCGGCTAAAAAACGTAAACCTACTTCTCCACTCCAGACACCCCTTAGCCCACAAAAAAAGAATAACACTCAGAATCTATCCTCCAAAACTAAGAAAAATGTCTCAATTGTTGATTCTCTCTCTGAATCGTCAGATGATGATCTTGAATCAAAACATTGGGACCTAAAATCAGCCATTAAGAAAGCTGTTGAAAAACATCCTTTCTCAATGGATTACGAAGAAATCCTTGTACTCCTCGAGGAAACAAAAGGAAAGAGGAAGCCTTCTCCTATCATCAGAAAGTATACTTCAGACTATGAAGGCATACTCAAAGTTCTGTCCAGTGCTCACAACTGTCCCGTCACCCCAGACCTCAAAGGACGATTGTCTCGCTTAATTTCTGTATTGCATTCCATAAAACAGGATTGCCCATCAGGCGACTCTGATAAATAAATTCCCAAACAAAGCAGATATGTTACTTCAATGGAACTTAAATAGCGCGTTCCAACGGCGCACTGAACTTAGAAAACTTATTAGAGACCATGATCCACTCATTATCGCTCTCCAGGAAACCCAACTAAATCCAAGTCAATCTTTTGGCATAAGAGGTTATCAAACCTTCAGAAAAGATTTTCTGGGGGGAATTCGTTCATGTAATGGTGTTGCTACTTTAGTCAAAGAATGTTGCCAAAATAAATTGATCCCCCTCAATACCGAATTACAGGCTCTTGCTATACAAGTTTCTCTACAATTTAAGCTCACAATATGCAATATATATATTCCTCCAAATACCAAATTAATATTACGTGATTTAGAAAATATTATTAAGCAGTTGCCCACGCCTTATATTTTGTGTGGAGATTTTAATGCACATAATATTTTGTGGGGATCCGATAGTATCTCCACAAAGGGTAGATTAATAGAAACATTGCTAGACAATCATGGGCTCCTCCTACATAATGATGGATCATATACACATTTTTCATCAGCAACTGGCACCTTCTCAGCAATAGATATTACTCTTAGCTCTCCTACCATAGGATCGTCAATTACATGGCGAGTGCACAATGATTTGTGCTCGTCTGATCACTTTCCTATTTTCACTTCTTTAGGTTATGAAAGGGAAGTATCCTCACGTGCAAGCAAATGGGTCATTCAAAAAGCAGACTGGACTAAATTTTCAAATTCTATAACATTGCAGCCCCCAGATGAACACTATACTTGTCATGACATGCTTGCCAATCTAACTGAGCAAATATTAAAGGCAGCTCATTCTTCAATACCTAGGACATCAACGAAGATGACTCGGCCCCCTGTCCCATGGTGGAATGACCAGTGCCAAAAAACCATTAGAAATAGAAGAAAATGCCTGCGTTTCTATAAAAAAAACCCAACATTAGAAAATTTAATTGCCTATAAAAAAGCCAGGGCAATTGCCCGACGCACGATAAAAGCCAGTCGATCTGAGAGCTGGCAAACCTTCGTAAAATCAATAAATACTAACACATCAAGTGCCCAAGTTTGGTCACAAATCAAAAAAATTGTGGGACGTCCTCCCCCAACCCACATTTTATCTCTTGAATCACAAAATGGTGAAATATTGACCGATACTCAGCAGATCACTGATGAGCTTGCAAATCATTTCTGTTCTGTTAGCAATAATGATCACTACTCTGAAGATTTCCTCAACTTTAAAAATCAGGAAGAACAGAAAAAGCTTGATTTTAATTCTGATAATTTGGAACAGTACAATCTTCCTTTCTCTGCTCAAGAATTGAATGATGCTATCGCTGTATTAAATAATACTGCCCCGGGTCCTGATGAAATACATAATCTCATGATTAAAAATCTACCTACTGAATGTAAAGAATATTTGTTACAAACTCTAAACGGTTTTTGGACTTCTAACCAATTCCCACAGCAATGGCTTGAATCAACCATTCTCCCAATTTCTAAACCAGGTAAGGACAGAACCAAACCCACAAGTTACAGGCCTATCTCCCTTACCTCTACCTTATGTAAATTATATGAGCGCATGGTCAATAGAAGATTGACATGGACCCTCGATCAAAATGAGTGTTGGAATAACATTCAATCGGGGGGAAGAAAAAGAAGATCAACAATTGATCATCTACTGAAAATTCAATCAACTATTCAAAATGGATTTCTTAAAAAATTGGATACTTATGCCATTTTCTTTGATTTAGAAAAGGCATATGACACTACATGGAGGTACAACATTCTCAAGACGCTCCATAAATGGGGCTTTCGCGGTCATCTTCCACTTATGATAAGTGAATTTTTACAGCGAAGAATATGCCGTGTGAGATTGGGAACCTGCTTTTCGGAGGTTTTTGAACTTTTGAATGGGATTCCCCAGGGTAGTGTTCTAAGCTGTACACTTTTTGCAATCGCTATCAATTCAATTCTAGAATGCGTTCCGAAACCTGTACAATCCTCCCTTTTTATGGACGATTTTTGCATCTATATTTCATCTAAAAATATCAAGATAGCAAAAAAACTACTCAGAATAACTGTAAGTAGACTTCAAAGCTGGTCCAATCAAACTGGTTTCCGGTTTTCTGTACAAAAGACCATTGGAATGATTTTTAGTCGTAAAAGAAATAACCCATCCACCCCAACCATTTTTCTAATGGGAGAAAAGATACCCTTTAAAACATCTGTTGTCTATTTAGGACTTATTTTTGATCGAAAACTAACATGGGCTAAACATATTGAAAATCTTGTTGCGAAATGCAAAAAAGCAATGAACATACTTAAATATCTTGCAAATACTCAATGGGGATGTGACAGAGAAACTTTACTCACATTATACAGAAGTTTAATAAGATCTAAAATTGATTACGGATCTTTCGTTTATCAATCTGCAGCAAAAACTTATCTACGGACATTAGATGTCATTCACTCATCATCTTTACGTATCGTACTCGGTGCTTTCCGAACTAGTCCCTCTATTTGTCTGTGCGCCGAAGCAGGGGAACCGCCCCTTCAATGGAGAAGGCAGATCCTACTTAGTGGCTATCTCACTAAAGTCATGACATCTTCAAATCATCCTACCTATCCACATATGATATGTGATGCTATTGAAGTGACAGACACTGTTAAACCTATTTCTTATGTCACTAAGCAGCTGATTGATAAATTGAAAACAAAATACAGCCTCGATCAACTACAACTTTCTCCAAATGAAACCCTTTCCTGCCCCCCGTGGATGTACAATATCGATACTGTCAATTTGGACCTAGCTGTCTATCAGAAAGGAAACACATCAAGTACATTTTACAAGGAACGACTAAATCAACTTTTATGTCAAAACTTCCCTGATTACAAACAAATTTTCACAGATGGTTCTAAACAAGAAACATCAGTAGGATTAGCATTCGTAGATACATCAAATAATTTTATCCTAAAACAAAAATTATCTCCGTTAAATTCTATTTTCACAGCTGAGATGCTGGCTATTCTCGAAGCAATTAGATATGTACAAGAACTTAGTTCCTGTAACAATGATACCATCAATTACGTCATATGCTCTGACTCTCTTTCCTCACTCCGCACCTTGAAATACAACCCTACTAATCATCCCTTTTCAATGTTAATCCATGATACTGTTCATTCCTTATTGGCCAATGGCCACTCCACCTCTTTTATCTGGGTACCGGCTCATATAGGAATTCTGGGAAACGAAACAGCGGACAGAGCAGCCACTGAAGCATGCTCTTTGCAGAACATCACTCACCATCCATTCACTCAGCAAGATGCTAAAAAAGCTATGTGCGAACTTATCACAAAATCGTGGGAACAAGAATGGAGCACAAGTGAACAGAATCGTCTCCGTAGAGCCCCCATGCCATATCCAAGAACATCTAACCACAAATCAAGATCATGTGAAGTCCAAATTGCGCGTCTCAGGATAGGTCACACTTTTTTCACTCACTATCATATCATATCTAAAGAAAACCAACCCACCTGCCACTTCTGCAATTCATCACCTCTAACCATCAAACACATACTTATGGACTGCTCTTCCCTCCGACATCACCAATCACAGATCTACTCCCCTTCATTCAACAGAAATACAAACCCTCTTACATGCGATGAACCTAATATTACCACCAAAATCTCTTAAACTCTTCACCTCTCTTCATTTAAAAATCTAAATTCTCGTTTATACTCCTATATATTTTCAAAATTACCTGTAAAGACGTTAATAGCCTAAGTCGCTGAATGTCTCAAAATTATAATAACTAATAACTGTATGTAAGTATATATGTATGTATGTATGTATGTATGTATGTATGTATGTATGTATGTATGTATGTATGTATGTATGTATGTATGTATGTAGTTGTATGTACGTATGTATGTAGTTAGTTAGTTCGTTATTATAATTTTAAGACATTCAGCGACTCAGGCTATTAACGTCATTACAGATAATTTTGAAAATAGGTGTATGAACGAAAATTTAGATTTTTAAATTAAGAGAGGTGAAGAGTTTTAGAAGTTTGGTGGTAATATTAGGTTCATCGCATGTAAGAGGGTTTGTATTTCTGTTGATTGTAGGGGAGTAGATCTGTGATTGGAGATATCGGCGGGAAGAGCAGTCCTTAAGTATGTGTTGTATGTATGTAAGGGTGTATGCATTTCCGCTCGATAACTCGAGCGGAAATGAATATTCTGAGCTGAACTTTTTATGGGTGGTAGTTCTTTTCTAGGACTGGTTTTGTATTGAATTTTAGCTTAATCGGCCGAGCCGTTTAAAAATGGCGAGCTTTGAAATTTTTAGGAGGGAGGTGCTCGGTATGAGGGGAGCTGGCCGGAGCAGGGCCGCACAGTGGGTCGGGGGAGAAAGTTCTTTGACAAGCTGATCGTCACACAGTGGGTCAGGGGGAAGAAGTTTTTGGACCAAATTTTCATCGCACAGTGGGTCAGGGGGAGGAAGTTTTTGGATAAAATTTTCGTCACACAGTGGGTCAGGGGGAGGAAGTTTTTGGACAACATTTTTGTTGCACAGTGGGTCAGGGGGAAGAAGTTTTTGAACAAGCTTTTCGTCGCTCAGTGGTTCAGGGGAAGGATGATTTTGGACAAACTGCGGGTCGCACAGTGGGTCAGGTGAAGAAAGTTTTTGGTCGAACTGTTCGTCGCACAGCGGCCCAAGGAAAGAAAATATCTGGAAAAAAACTACCCATTATACAATGACTTACAGACGTGCGATTTCATGACCACAAAAATCCTACTTCGGGAAATACACTTCCTTCCCAAGGTGGATGCGCGGGACACTTAAAAAGAAGAAAAACTAGATGTGCAAAAAACCCTGAAAAGACGCGCGCGGAGCGCGTGCCCTCGCGGGGCTTGGGGGAAGCTCGGCCGCCTCCCCGCAAACCGGCGCGGAGCGAAGCGGAGCGCCGGTTTTTTTTTTTTCTTTTTAAATTGTCACGTTAAAAGGAACGAATACAGATGGTCCATACTAAAAAAGTCTATCTACAGATATGTCAGTATTTTTTTGTTTGTTTACAGAGTTGTCCAATCAGAGGAATCTTTGAATGTGCTAAAAAAGTATGATGACCTATTGTTAAAACTGAATGATCTTGAACTCAGCACAATTTCTAAGTGGGTGAACGAGATTCAAGACATAATTAGAAAACATATGAACAAAAGTCTTTTTGCAACAGATGTTCAGACCCACTTGCTGTCCATAAATTATAGTGCAGAGGTGAGTTTTTGGCTCGCGCACTCCGGTCAATTTTAAAACTTCATGTGTATTTTTTACTAACTGTTCGGGGCGCGTTTCGTGCGCCCTCACAGGTAGAGAGGGGGTATCTCCCTGCATCACTGGTCACGCGAGTGACTTTAACGCTTGCATTGCGACCTTTTTTCTAATGATTTATTACCTAGTTTGTTTTATGAAACATATAATGAATCGAATTTTATAATTTTTTTCCCAGATATTTTAGTATTTTTTGTCCTAATTTTATTGTTATATTAGTTTAATCTACATTTGACGAATCAAGCTCTTATGCTCACTGGCTTACTGGAAAAAATTGCCTTGACAAAGAAAACTTATTCTACGCTTTCAAGATACGAGTTCTTCATAGACAATATTTTTCGTTGTTACGTCTGCGTCATGTGCTCCATTTCCACAGCCCCCCCCCCCCACATTCGAATCTTAAATAAAAAATTATATCATGATTTTGTGCTAATTTGGTGCTGTTTTGTGCCGCAAATTAAAGATTTTGTGTTGCAAAATTAAGGGGGGAAATGCTCCTCAAAATTGGGGGGAGGGCTGTAGAAACGGTAGCCCCCCACTTTCGAATTTTCGAAAAAAAAAGAAAGTCATAATTTTGCGCTAATTTTGTGCTATTTTCTCCTATTTTGTGCCACAAGAAAAACATTTTGTGCCGCAAAATTAAGGGGGGTAGCAGCATTCCAAATTGGGGGGCTGTAGAAATGTTTGCCCCCTAGTTTGATTTCTCGGAAAAGGAGTATGCCATGATTTTGTGCTAATTTTGTGCTATTTTGTGCCGCAGCGAAACATTTAATTTTTTCAAATTTCAGGGGGGTATTTGGCACATCAAGTTTTTTGGGGGGGGCTGTAGAAATGTTAGCCCCCCTTTTGGATTTCTTTGAAATGGAGTATGCCGTAATTGTTTGAGAATTTTGTGCTATTTTGTGCCGCAAAAAACGCTTAATTTTTGTAAATTTATAGGGGTAAACGGGCACATCAAATTTTGGGGGGGCTGTGGAAATGATTGCTCCCCCCCTTTTTGATTTCTTAAAAAAATAGTATGCCGTAATACTCTCATAATTTTGTGCTATTTTGTGCCGCTAATAGAAAACTTTGTACTCCAAAATTAGGGGGCTTAAAAACCACCCCAAATTAAGGGGGAGGGTCGCAGGTGTGGCAGCCCCCCCTTTCAAATTTCGAGAAAAAAAGCACGTCAGAATTTTGTGCTAATTTTGTGCCATTTTGTGCCACAAAAAGACAATTTTGTGCTCCAAAACTAGGGGGGTTAAATGCCTCTTGAAATGGGAGGGGTGGGGACTGTAAAACAAGTCAGCGCTCCGTCGGAACCCGAATCTTCCGCTTCGGAGTCGCAGGCTCGCAGGTAGCCGGAACCTTTGGCAGCGCAGCGTGGTCACATCTCTCTCCGCTTTGACTTCTGTCCATGGAAACGGACGGAAAGGGCCAAGCACCGTGGCAACTCAAGAAAGATGCGGGCGGAAGATCCGGCGCTCTTTGCACGGGATATTTAAACAGAGAAATTTTTCCTAATCATTAAGGAGCCTTTTCGGAGGTTATATACGGTTGGGTGTCAGCGAGTGCCAAATCGAGTGTTGTTCTACTGTTTTTATTTTGCACACTACCGATTATTATTTACTGAATCGAACAGTTTTGAGAAATAAATGATTGACTTTCATTTCAAAGCAATAACAATTTTGACACGTATCCAGCGAAACATATCATAAAAGAACCATTTTTAAGAAATGTCTCAGAAAATATGTTATCGTTGATTTTAAGACCTCCAAAATCTAATGTATATTACCTCACTGGAATTCGCTCTGAGCTCTTTTCCAATTTTTAATAACAAAATTCAAATTTTCCACCATTTTTCTATAGGTGCCGATGTTTGGTTTTAAATGAAGTGCCCACACAATGTATACATTTATATTTTTTAACAATGCTTTACTTATTCTAAGAAGCACTCAAGTCTCCGAAATTTTCCTTTTTGGGTAATGCTTAGCTCTAGCGTTCTACTGGGCTGATTTTCATGATTTTTGCGGATATCAACAGGTAATTTTCTTTAAATGAGCCCGCTTACAGAGCCTCATTAATGGGGGGGGGGGCGCATGGTGTCATGCCATTGAGTGGCTATTTTCGGATTTTTTGAGGGTATTTTTTAGTGGAAGGGGAGTTTATGTTTCATTTTCGTCTTTTACGTATCACAAATGCTCGTTCCGTGAAAAACCATTTCCCTTTTTCTTAAATTATTGTTTGCAACACTTTCCTGCCCAAATGCGCATCCTTCTCACTTTCACTTTGGATAGACAAATCAACTTTCCAAACCAATTCCGATGAAAATAGCATCAAAGTGTCGGGAGCAATCAGTCTTAAACTCATGAATTTGCAAAATTTTTAAATGAAAACTTGGCAGAAATGTTTTCTGTGGCAGGAAATGATGAATGGTGGGGGTGGCACTCCATTCTGATCTTTCTTTGAACAAATAAGTGCGGTCCGTCAAAATATGATGGTAGATGGTGACCATCAGTCATCAGCATGTCTACTTTGATCGGAATTGGTTCGGAATTTGATCGTCTATCCAGGGCTTTTCGCAGAATCGGATTGCGCTTTTGATAATATGTTTTCGAAACTTATATTTCGAGCGCATCGGCATCGCGTGAATCTATAAGATATTAGATCGATCAAGATTATGATATTATATTATTGACCCGAAAAAATCCCTAGCCGGGAAGGAAAAAAATCCCAAGATTTCGCGATAAATCTCAAAAACATTATATTCACCTCTCGTTTTAGCGGTGAAACATGGGAAAGTGCTTTATGAAGGGTGAAATACGGTATAAAAATCTCAAATAATTGCGTAGGTCTGCGTCCGAAAACAAAGCTTAACACACGATGGATGTAATTGATATATTTTTTTACGCTGTGTCCGATAATACTATCCCTATTTCTTCGTCTATCAGCATTTCCAGGAATATATACATATTTTCTCGTAAGAAGGGGGGTTTACCATTTATCGACGTTAAAGATATAGTCCTTTAATTCATACCTTGTCTAGAGGCCCAATGTGCAGTAATTTTCTTCAGGACCATGAATACCACACCAAGTTTTAGAAAGTATTTGCGTGGGTACTTCACTGTTCAATCCAGTAAATAACAATCGGTAGCGTGCAAAACAAACAAGCAGTAACTCCAGCGCACTGCCGCTTGAGAGCGGCTCCGGGCCGGTCATATCCAAGACATATACAGGGTTATCCAAAAGTCACTGACCACCCCTGTAACTTTTTTCCTAATTGAGATACAAGTTTAAAACTTTGTCAATATTCCTTGGCCTGAAGTAGCAACTTTTCGGTCCCCCCAAAATTTTGGGGGGCGGCCCCCTCTAAGGGGGGTGGGGGCTAACTTTTTTTTTCAAATGGCAACCCCCCCCCCTTGTGATACCTCATTCAAAAGATAATAAAAAAAGAAAATTTTTGAAGCAAATCGCAGGTCAAAATGTTGAGTTTTGACAAAATGGCGGCCGGTCAAAGTTCAAAATGGCGGAAATTTGACATCTCCGTTGTGTATTGACGAATTGGCGTTAAACTCGGAATCCTAGGGTTTTTCGAGACTAGAAAAACGATTCTGCCATTGATTTTCCAGATAAGTCAGTCTTTTTAAAAATGGCGGCGGTCAAAATGGCGGCCTAGAGCGGAAGTGGATATTTAGGCTGCTCATCGTTGGATTTGTATGAAACTTGGTATGCGGGGGTATTTCTGCACGAGAAGCACGAATCTTTCATTGGATTTCTGAAATTCCGACAAATTTCAAAATGTCGGCGGAAAAATGGCGGGAAATCAGTTTTACGGCTCTTTATCGATGGATTTGCATGAAATTCGCTATCCTGGTGGTTTTTGGCTCGATAAAAAGGAATTTCTCAATAGATTCTGGAAAAACTGAATAATTGATATCGAAATTCATGCAAATCCATTGACAAACAGCCGTAAAACTGATTTCCCGCCATTTTTCCGCCGCCATTTTGAAATTTGTCGGAATTTCAAATATCCAATGAAAGATTCGCTCTTCTCGTGCCGAAACACTTCGCATACCAAGTTTCATACAAATCCAACGATAAGCAGCCTAAATATCCACTTCCCGCTCTAGGCCGCCATTTTGACCGCCGCCATTTTTAAAAAGACTGACTTATCTGGAAAACCAATGCGAGAATCGTTTTTCTCGTCTCGAAAAACCCTAGGATTCCGATTTTAACACCAATCCGTCAATACACAACGGGAATGTCAAATTTCCGCCATTTTGAACTTTGACCGGCCGCCATTTTGTCAAAACTCAACATTTTGACCTGCGGTTTGCGCCAAAAATTTTCTTTCTTTATTACCTTTCGAATGAGGTATCACAAGGGGGGAGGTTGCCATTTGAAAAAAAAGTTAGCCACCGCCCCCCTTAGAGGGGGCCGCCCCCAAAAATTTTGGGAGGACCGAAAAGTTGCTACTTCAGACCGAGGAACATTGCCAAAGTTTCAAACCTCTATCTCAATTAGGAAAAAAGTTACAGGGGTGGTCAGTGACTTTTGGATAACCCTGTATAAACTACTAGCCGTGTTCAGCTCGCTGTGCGAGCTGTCACGCCTAGCCAAGGAGTGCCCCTGGACCCCCAGTTCCTCGCTTCGCGATGAACTTGTTACTCGTTCCGCGAGCCGCCCCTCATAGCTATTAACTTTTAAAAGAACGAATTTACTTTTTTTAACGAAGTATGGTGAATAGTGGCGTTGTTGCGAATATGTTATCTTTGTCCTCATCCACAATCAGCAGACTTAGCATTTTAAGCCACAACCGCCATCTTGGATTTTGAAATTTTGAATATCTGATCAAAAATTCAAGTTTCTCGTTGAAAAATATCGCCAGATACCGAGTCTCTTGAAAATCGAGCGAGCGAGGAGGAACAGACTTAGCATTTTATGCCACGGCCGCCATATTGGAT